TTTTTTTTTTTTTTTTTTTTTTTAATTTGTTGGCTTCGACCCTTTTACTATTTTGGGTTCAGTTTTGATGGGTATCTCTCAATTTTGTAACTTTTGATTTCCAGTTGCTGTTTTGGTCTCTTCTCTGTTGATTATATAGTATTTCGAGAAGTGTGACATTCACTATTGCTGGATTAACATGATTGTACTGTGCAGGGGCAATAGCGGCTACATTTGTGTGCCCATTGGATGTGATCAAGACTAGGCTACAAGTTCATGGTCTTCCTCATGGGCAAAAAGGTACCCTTTTTGTTGATTGCTGAATGTAGGTTCTTAGATTGTGGTTGCATTGTAGCCATGGTTGTGTTGCGGTCTCATGTGAGACATGCTGTTCGGGGTCATGGCTCAATGAGGGTGCAATTTAGATGTTGAAACCATGTCTCATGATGGGGAATGCTCTTTAAAATATTGACTTAGTGCATATCTGGTTCCACGTTGTATGCTATCAGATGCGTGTCAGTCAGAAGCTACAATATTGACTTAGTGCATATCTTGATTTTACACTCTCTCTCCACGTTGAAGATGGATTTTACGTGGAAGCAAAAATTTTTTGCTTCAACTAAATGTGAAAATTCACGTTTCCATTGAAACCCAAACATGCACTTAATTTGATGCAAATTCATTAGAAAACGTGGGTATGAGGCATAACCAAACACAGTTAAATGGTTAATAAATCATTGCAATGCTGTGGTTGTTGTTGATTACTTGAATTTGTGCAAGGGTTAAGGAGTTTTTGATGATATTGATAATTGATATAAGTTTATTAGTTTGAAGCTTCCTTGAGAAGAATTTGCTTTAAGTTTTCTTAGAAGTGCTTCTCCTTTGAATGTTCAGTGTTTGGGACTGTGTCATCAACATGTAGTTGAAACTGGTTGATGCTAGTTCAATTCAAAGTGTCAATCATCTATTGTTGTATGAATGAATTCTGTCCTACATTTGTTGAGTGATTGTTTCTTGAGCCTAATATTTGCTGTTCTCTTAGGTAGTGTTATTGTCACGGGCTTGAAAAATATAGTAAGGAATGAAGGATTTAGGGGAATGTACCGTGGCCTATCACCAACAATACTTGCACTACTTCCAAACTGGGCAGTGAGTTTCTTTTTCTGTTGCCTCTCTAACTAAATTGGTCAATGGCTGTTGCTGCTAAAGATGCAAGGCTCTGTGAAGCAGGGCCTTGGATGTACTTCTGTTCTGTGTTGTTTCAAAATTCATTTGCCTTCCAGCTTCAAATCATACACAAAATATTAGTAAAAATAGACGAGACATAATTGATAAGCCCAAAATTTGGAGTTGCATGGATTTTATGTATAACTGATGATAAAGCTTCATATCAATACTTATTTGTTATAAAATCCTCTCTCGATGCAGTCTTCACCAATATACTTGCTCATATACTGTTCACTACCACTAGTTCGCAAAGTTCTTGGTTTTCTAACATGTTTTTCACTTTCTTTGTTTGCTCCATTCTATAATAGAATCTAGTATGATTTCCGTCTCCACTTATGTTTAGGTCTAGAGATAAACAAGTTATTGCATCTCTTTTGAAATATAACTGATGATAATCTTTATATGAATTCTTATTTGTCATATAATCCTCTCTAGGTTACAGTCTTCACACCAAGGTACTTGCTAATATATTGTTCATTAATCAACGTCACTAATTCGCAATATTCTTGGTCTCCTTACAAATGTTTTTACTTTCTTTGTTTGCTTCATTTTATATTATAATCTAGTGGTATGTTGGGTCTCCACTTCTGTTTAGGTCTAGAGATATACAAGTTTTTGCATCCCTTTCAAGAGAAAATTGTTTAGTGCAATTTGTATGGTCATATTCATGTCTACTTGTTTGAAATAAATCTTTGCTTTTAATTATTGTTGACCATACATGGCTTCGTATTTGCACTCTTGGAGTACTTTTATGATACTCTTACTAAGTTAAGAAATTTTGAAGTTGGAAGAGGTAACTCTGTAGCATGCAACAATAATAAAAAATGACTGCCTCTTTGCCTTCTGGCTGGAGGAATATTTAATCCTGTTCCCCCTAGCAGTGTAAAGCAACATATATGATAGGCAGTGTCGTTGCCTATCAATATACCTTTGTATTAGTATGAAAAGATGATTAAAAGTTAATCTCCTGGACCAGTTGCATCTACTTTGTCCATGAAGATCATTTTTCAGAGCATTGATTTATCATATATTTTATTTAGAAGATGGATAATCTTTCTTTTATAGTTTAATCATGTTTGTAAGAGTTTCTCTTCATAGTTCATATCTTTTCAAATAACATAAAGTCTATTCCGATTGTAGGTTTACTTCACAAGTTATGAGCAACTAAAGGCCCTGCTTCGTTCACGTGGTAAATATCATCTCAATGTTGAGTACATTTTAATTCTTACATGGATCTGTGTTTCTCTTAAGGCGTCGTCCATATAATACTATATTTCTCAAACTTACAATATTGGGTTCTTCAGATCTGCAATTGGAATTTGTTGGATTAACTATATTTTTGATGATGTTCTTTATTGGTGTACTGTAGATGGTTGCAATGAACTCACGACAATTGGAAATATTATAGCTGCTGCTGGTGCTGGGGCAGCAACAGCGATTTCTACAAATCCATTGTGGGTTGTCAAGACAAGACTTCAAGTATGTTAGTGGCTTAGTGCTTCTCATATCTGTAATCTTAGTAAAGTACACATAAAATATCAGTTATTATTTCATCTATTCATGGATTTGAAACATGCTTGCTTTTGCTATGTTGGACACTAATTCATTTTTTCCCAATACCCATTAGACGCAAGGAATGAGGCCTGGTGTTGTTCCATACAAGAGCGTTCTTAGTGCTTTGACAAGGATTACACACGAGGAAGGCATACGAGGCCTTTATAGGTCAGTTTCTTTGTTCCAATTTTAAGGTTGATGATTTTGGCTAATACATTATGGAATCTCCGCAGGTTGTTATATATAATACAGCACTTTTTTACTGTGTTTGTAATTGATTTTATTTGCATTATATCTTTGTCATTGATTAATGCCCAACTGATAACTTGTTAATTGTACCAACAAATGATGAAAAAAAATATTAAATAGAAGAGATAGAATTTCTTTTGTCCTTTTTTTTGGCAGGACTATTAAATCATTGTTAACTTTCTCTCTTTAGATTGAGGAAAATGTATTCTCTATTAAAATATCACAGGCAGCCTGTCAATTTGTGTGCATAACATCACCGGATTATATCTCTATTTTGGAAAAATTCCCAAGTTCCATTTAATATTTTTGCATATACCACTATCAATTTAGCTTTTGAAATTTGAAAAGAAAAAAAAAATTTAATTTTACCAACTATTTGCTTAACTGAGATCTGTCATCGTACAAAGAACTACATTTGGCAAGACTGCAAGCTAAGTCTTGGGAATAATATGTTAATAAGTTAAAGTGAGATAAATCACGATGACATAATAATTATAGTACGGTAGTACCTATATACTTTTCTAGAAAAACAAAATTATCAATCACTGGATCACTTTCATATATTTTTGGTTGAATTTTTCAATATTTGAATAGTGGGTTTTTCTGTTCCGCACCCATGTTTATATATGGATGTCACAAGCCTTCATATCATAACTGCTGCACAGAATGAAACCAAAATTTCAAGGGAAAATATCAGAAGTGAACTGAAAGCATGAAATCTTCAGTCTGTTTCTGTTTATTTAGTTGTGACACTGACTGTATTTTGTTAACACAAACCAGTGGCATTGTTCCTTCATTGGCTGGCGTAAGTCATGTTGCAATTCAGTTTCCAGCATACGAGAAGATCAAGTCTTACATGGCAGAAAAAGGTATGAATGCTAACGGTAAATTATGTATTTATTTAAGTCCTTGACGTAAGTAGATTTTTCTGTTTCTTCATGTGTTGCTCATCAAATGAAAATTTCCAAAATTTCAGATAACACAACTGTTGACAAGCTAACTCCTGGGAGTGTTGCCATTGCATCATCAATTTCAAAAGTATTTGCCTCTGTAATGACCTATCCACATGAGGTATGCATGACTAAATTACTACTGGTGCAACTGCAGGATCTCTCTGAGCAACAACTTAGTATTAAATTTCGTATTTTCAGGTGATACGATCTCGGTTGCAAGAACAAGGGCAGGCAAAAAATATTGGTGTACAATATGCAGGGGTTATCGACTGTACTAAAAAGGTGTTTCAAAAAGAAGGCATTGCAGGCTTTTATCGTGGTTGTGCTACCAATCTATTAAGAACAACACCATCTGCTGTTATTACATTCACTAGTTATGAGATGATACACAGGTTTTTGGAGCAAACTATGCCTCGGGACAAGGGGTATCCTCAAGGCCGTTCTAAATCCAATGAACTTAACAAGCCCCACCCCAGAAGCCAGTGGCACTGATAGAGGGAAACCACCATCTCAGTCTAACACAAAATCTTCATCAATTCCTCCCGGAAACAAAGAGCACCTAACAAGACATTGATTTCCATTTATGTTTTTTTTTTCC